CGGTTGATTTCAATGAAATTGGAGTCGAAATGGCATTATGTAATGTTTTCATCTACAACTGAAAAGACTACCATGAGGTCCTTTGTATAGGTGTTATTTATCATAGGCAGACACTTTCTATCACCATGTACTACATGTCTGTACAGGGGCAGAGTGTAGACAGTAACCCTGCTCTCCAGCAGATTGCATTAAAACTTTCATATCAAGGTTGGTATCATCTGTCCTGCAACTTGAAGACACATCCACCTCTTTCCCAAATGCTAAAGTTAAGTCCTGGAGTTATAAAGATTTGTTAAAAAAATTCTGATAACAGAATGAAGAGATTATTCCTGATCATGTTGGAACAGTCTCTGGAGCTTCTCAGCTTGCCTTGCTGCCTTTGCCTCTCCTTGCGAGTTCCATTCCTCAAAAGAAGTACCAAATGTGACGAACTTTCACAGTTTCTTTCTTCTGCGAGGCTCCAGAATAGCATCCATATTGCTGTGACACTGGGGTTGTCCTCTCAAGTTGTCTCTTTGCTGCCGGCTTCTGCGGGGGGTTGGATAACACCTGATGTGGTGCTAAGTTGCTTGTGAGCAGTAGGAATATGCCCCAGCACCAGGAATCTCGTTCTGGTCTTGGGTATAGGACCTCAGAAGTTTTATTCCACAACACAACTTTAATTTGATTCATTAGTTTCACAGGATCAAGCAGCTTAATGATTGGCAGAATACCTTGTATATAATTAAAACGTTAGAGACGCTTTTCATCCGAGGCTGCTTTTAGCAAAACAAACAGAGAACATAATTACAAGAGAAAAATACAGAAAAAAATGTTACTTTGAATAGAGTAGAAATGAACTTCTGCAAGCTCTTTTGGAATTTTATCGGATCCATGTTCTAGCTGCTCTGGCTCAGTGCCAGCTCAGTGGCACCCGACTGCCAGAGACCATTCGCTTCTGTGCTTTGCTTTGCTTGCCAATTAGACTTGTGGATTACAAGGTGCCATTTGCACAAAGAAATCATCAAAGCAGCTGTTGCAGTCCCCAGTTCTCCTTCCCTATAACCCATTGACTGAAGGAAAAGTTCCATTAGCAGCTTTTGAGGCCCAGGCAGCGTCTCCTGCTCCTTCCACGGCCTCCCATTCCTCTGACCACCAGTGGTGCTCCAAAGTGCAGCGCCTGTCTGCTGGCCACAATTCACTGTTGCAGATTTTGGTTGCAGAATTTATTTTCACCTCTTCCCAGGAGCAGATCATTTGAGCAGCCACAATGAACAAATGGGTGCTGAGTTTGTCATATAGGTGCTTTTGATGAGAGCGGTTTCACGAGGACAGTAAGCATAACACAGTCTACCGGTATCAAACTTGCACTGTGGAGTTCAGTGGTCCAATAGCCTAAAGGCAAGGAAAACAAGCTACAGCCCCTTCTTGTATGCATTAATCGGTTTCTTATGCTATGCAACATGCAATGCATCGCCTTGCTGATTTTCATTTTTTGTTATGGATCTTCACTTATTAGTTAATTACTTTAAACACGTATTTGGATAGGCATAATTCTAAGAATTAGAAGAGTGTAATCACTAACATCTTAGATAGTAGGGATGCCTGTGATCTGTTAAACCGTGAACAAATTACTAGCTGTGGTTCATTCAGCGCATCTTGAAACGCCCCATGTGGACCTTTCTCAGTCTTCAGAATTCGAGATAATTTGATAGATTTTCAATAGAATTCGGCATAGAGACTAGAAAGACATTTGGAGCCTTGTTTTCTGTGTCTTTTGCCTCTTTGAGAAGCTTGGGTTGTTAAAACTGGGGTACTGAAAAAGACTACTGATTTCATTGCATGTGGAAATGGGAGTAGATGCCTGAAGCAAGAGCTGACGAGGAGACCTCATTTTCCATGCCACTGTCTGAAGTCTGTGAGACCCTGTGAGTCCTTATAACACTGCCAGGGCCAAATTATCTCAAAATAATTTGAAATAACCATAAAGGAGGAAGAGATTTTATAGAAATTATTATGGTACAAAGCAGTCACTGAAAGTCGCAGCAATAACAATGGAAATGTAAACAATAGCATTTGGCACAGAGAATGGTCTCTAAAAGAGGATAACTGCACTAGCATCTCCTCTCTGGTCTACTACCTTTCCTTTGCCTTCAGCTAGAGGTGAATCTAGCCAAAGAGCTGAGGCGTGAGAGTGGGGAGGTGCAAAGCAGATGGTTTTGGTGTTGGTGGAAAGCAGGAGAAAGGCTCTCTGGGGAGGGGGAGCCTTTCCACCACAAAGTCCTCCTGAGGGCCAGTTCACCTCCCTGATCGAACACACACTGTGCAGTTCCTGCCCCCCCCGATCACCTTTGCGTCATCTCTCTCGGTATCCAGAGGGGACCCCCCACTCCCACGCCGCCTCGGGGGAAGCGGGCTGTGTGTGCTTCCACCGTGTCAGCCAGCCTCCCTGAGCTGCAGAAACAATGGCAATGTCTCTGCAGATGCAGCCGAGGTCCTCCAGGTCCCTCTTCCTGCTGCAGTTGGCACTTTGCAATGCCAGCAGCACATCGGTGTGCTAGTGCTCGCAAGCGGTGCCATTTCTACGTTTTTCTGTGCTGTGTCTGGCACTTCTCTTGCCTGCTGGTTGCATATGGGGTGAGAAGAGATATGGACCATTACCAATTACCCACCACCAAACTCTCTCATTTTCACAGCAGCTGCCAAGCTAAGGAAATATTTCCACTACTTTTTCTCAAGTGACATTGCTAGTCATGTGAACGCTATTACATTCCCATGTAGTACACACGTTGTTACCATGGTAATTTCCTTCTATTCTACTATTTAAAATGCATCCCTTGCTTTCTAGGTATACACTGATCCACCTGTACTCTGCTAAAAAGTTTGCCATTAGGCACTATATATTTGAACCCATTTTACTCATTATACCATTGATTGTGCTCTAAATACACATCTGTGTGTTTGTGTATGTGTGTGTGTGAACTTTCTCAGAAATTACTTTATATTTTCGTCCAGATTGTTGTTAAAAATGAGTGACAGTTTTAAGCTGAGGAAAGGTCCTTAGAAGAGCGAGCTGTAAACATCCTCATTTACTGATGATTTCTCTTATTGGTGAACCAATCTTTAGTCCTTTTGAATGCAGTCTTTAGTAATCTTCATTTTTAATATCAGTGTCTTGTAACACAAAACCCATAGGATTTTAGCAAAGCCACGGAACCTGTCTGGGCTCTATTTCATTTAAAAATTTGGTTAATGGTAGTGCTCTGAAATTAATATTCATATGCTTTTTTATTTATATCTCAAACCATTTTATTTTTCTCATTTTAATAGTTATTTCTACTAAATCAGGAGGTTTTAATTTATGTGCAAATTAGATCCTTTTCTAAAAAATACATAGCTATATTTCTAGCTGATGAAATCTTATTTTAGCTAGTGTCTATACTGCTCCATATATGGTATGAAGGATTTGGACGGAAAGATCTAAAGACTTGTTAGACCTTTCTCAAACACTGAAAAAAGAAGCTATGCTTATCTTTTTTTTGTAACATTGCACTTTGAAGAAAATAAATTTATTTAATTATAATCAAAGTGTTCAGAAAAACATTCTATGGCTTAAGGAAACTTTTCTCATTTTATACCCAAGAACACTTTTCTTCCTTCTGGGTGCTATGAGAAGGCTCAAAATCAGCCCATGACTAGGAGGAGCGTGTCCCTTTTGTAGCCAGGCTCTCTTTAATATCGGCAGGGTAGGATGGGAACCACCATCCCTCGGTGTCGGCACCGCTGGCCTCCACCCAAGGAGGGGTGGCTCATGCCTGTCCGTGCTAGGGGCCAAGGTGGGGCGTCTGCAGCTGTAGCTGCATCTGCAGCAGAGAAGGGCAAGCCGTAGTTAGAGTTGGCAAACTTGTGCAGGTTGAATTTGGCTGACAGACGCACATGAAAAAGTCACGTACATGAAAGGTGTAAGGCGGTTCATGACGGAGGTGGCTTTGGCCATCTGGCGCAGAGGGGTTTCTCTGGATTTTCTGAGCTGTGTGCACCAAACAGAGAGCAAGAGATGTGCATGGGGCTCCTCTTTCCACCTGCAAAACCAATGCAGAGCATGGCCATGGGCACCCCTGGGATGGAGAGGTGAGGGAGGACTGTGGAAGGGGATTTCTGTGGTTCTGCTGCTGCCTGCTCAGATTATACCCCTACGTGGAGCCTGTCCCCGACCCATAGTCCTGGGAGTTGGGATTGATTCCTGGTGAGAGACAGGACTGTGGTCCGGTCCGCCAGGCGAGTTCACAAAAGCTCAGCCAGGGCTCGCTGCAGGTGAGAGCGAGGTGTTGCACAAGGGGTTCTCCTGCTTGAGATGAACGTTTTGTGTGTGGAGCCTGCTGCTCATGACATGACTCGGTGAGGACTGGCTGCAGGAGAATCGTGTGGGAAAGGGCTCAGAGACCAGGTCTGCTGATGCCGACGGCTGTGCAAGGGCACACAGCCGTGAACCTCCTCTCGAAACAGCAGCCCCACGTCCGTGCCCTGCTGCAGAGGGAAATAGAGTGAGGATACCCATTTTATCTGCCTTCTCCTTTACCCCTTTGTATGACTGCTGTGTCCAGACGTCGCCTTTTCTGCTGCATAAGAGCCAACAGTGGCTTTTCTGCCATATGTTAAGCTGCCAGCCCTTTTCTTCCCCCTCTCCTGCCCTGGGCTCTCATCCTGCACCAAAAGGCCCTCTCACAATAGAAACTGATGGGAAGTTTCCAGGCAGCTGTCAGACCTGCTACCTATGGGGTGTTTGGCAAGACGAGCGGGTGTCTGCTGCAGCTGAGCTGGGAGCAGAAGTGGAGTTTGGTGCTGCTGTCCCAGGGAAGCAGGGAGCGCGCAGCGCTGCTGGAGCCCAGGCCAGGCGACACGGCCAAGCTCCAAGGCCAGCGCTGTCGCTGTGGCTGACACCAGCTGGCCCCGGGGTGGCCGTGGGGGTGCCCACGCGTGCTCGGCAGTTCTCACCCCTCTTCTCTCCCCGTGCGCTGCAGAATGTCCCCTGACAGCGGCAGCGCAGCTGGAGCACGGTGCGGAGATGATCAAAGCGCTGCGCAACGGGGGAGCTCACCTGGACTTCAGGACGCGGGAGGGGATGACAGCTCTTCACAAGGCCGTCCGGTGCCGCAACCACGCTGCCTTGCTGGTGAGTCCCCGGGGAAGAGCTGTTGCCAGTGGTGGGCCTGCTGGGAAAACGAGCTCTCCTTCCTGACCTGCTGCGTCCTGAGCTGCAGGTTGCTGCCTGTCCTTTCCAGCCTCCCCGTGTCCTTCGTTCCCTCAGCTTCCTCCCGACGCTGTCTGTTCAGCATGCACCTCTGCCACAGCCTCTCTCTTCACGGTGCTTTAGGGGAGTGCAGCTCAGTAGAAAAACTTGGTAACAATAACGGGAGCCTTGGCAAATGAGGTGGCCAGTACTGCCCCTGCAATGGCTGGTAGCATCTCCATTCCCTATGCGAGGTGGCTTCTCCTATGGCTTCCTCCCTGAGTTTGGCCTTCTGAAGCACCAGCCCTGGAGTGAGCCACACGCTTCCCTTGCAGACGCTGTTAGACCTGGGTGCCTCCCCAGACTACAAGGACAGCCGAGGACTAACTCCTCTGTACCACAGCGCCATGGTCGGGGGGGATCCCTACTGCTGCGAGCTCCTGCTGCACGACTACGCCAGGCTGGGCTGCGTCGATGAGAACGGTTGGCAGGAAATCCACCAGGTGAGCCAGAGGAGACACTGGTGGGGCCGCGCCAGCCGTGGCCTGGGATCGGCGCTCCTTTACTTCTTCCCTTTGCGGTAGGGAGCCTTTTAAGCTTGTCAAGATGAATGCTTTTCTGCTGTCAACAGAGGGGCTTGTCCTGTCCCCTTGTGTTTCACGTGGAAGGTGATGTCTTGGTGGGAGGGGAGAAGCGCTGCTTTACCAGTCTGGGTGGAACAGAGGTGCTGTTTTTTTTTTCCAAGGATTTGCACATGATGTACCAGGTCTAGCTCTAGCTCTCATCCCAGGCCTAACACACAAGCTTTTTTATTCTGGCCTCAGTCACTTATGCCTGGGTTCCTTCCCAGATTATGACTTTTTCATAGAGATGATTTACCTGAGATGTATTCATGTGCAGATTTACCTGAGATGTGTTCATGTGTAGATTACTGTAAGTGTGTGTGCATGTGTGGTAGCAGGACTTTTCAGGATACAGTTGTAGCCTGATACAACTTTCCTAGCATGGGTGAATCCAGTAGAGGCAAGAGGATGTTATAGGATTTACCTGAATTCTGTTGGTTTATAACCTTCCTGTTCCTCCTTGATTTTCTGTTTCTTTTTTCCCCTTTTGTGTTCTGATCAGGCATGTCGCTATGGCCATGTTCAGCACCTGGAGCATCTTCTCTTCTATGGAGCTGATATGACTGCACAGAATGCCTCAGGAAACACTGCTCTTCATATTTGTGCTCTCTATAACCAGGTAGACCTGTGTGATTTGGGGCATGACAACAAGAAAACAGAGATAGGGCACTAGCCTGCAGGAGGTAAAGAGGAAACACATTGGACTGGGGCACCTTCTTATTGCTATTTCTGATTCTAGACCTGAAAAAGTTCTTTTGAATCGTATCTCTCCTCTCTCCTCAGGTGAGGCTGATTTTGTTTGGAGCACCAGTCTCATTTCAGATTTCTTAGGAGGCAGATGACGAGAGGGCCGATTGTTTAATGTATTCCTATTCCCAGGATGTTTTTGCTGATTTTCTGCCTTACTCATTCTATTATTTTTCCCCATCACTGGTTGGGAGGGAGCACTTTGCCTGGGTGGAGGGTGATAATTTGGTCCAGGTGTTTGTGTTTAACTGTAGGAGGGGGGCATGTGGCCCAGGCAGGGCTTATTGAGCACATCTTGTGACATGCATACCCTCTAGGGCAGGAGTGTGGGCTGGGGTACGTTCCTTCTCATAAGCATCCCTAACATCTTACTACCAATCTCTGAATTTTAAAGAAGATTGTATTAGGCAGCACAGGGCACCATATCTGTTTTATTTTCTATGTGATCACTGAGTTCAGTTCAGGAAAAAATCAAGGGTGGTGGAAGAGCTATCTCTGATCTTATCTCAGGCCACGTGCCGAGGGTGCAGAGGTTGGTATCTAAGGATTTCTCTCATAGGTTGTGTTCCTTCCTTTATAAGGACTTTATAAGCTGTACTGTGTGTTTTGATTATAAATGGAATTTGCAGTTTCTGTTCCTGAAATGAAAAATGGAATACTGTTATGCTTTGCAACAGGCATTGATACGCATAGGCTGATTTGTGACTTATGTGATAAGTGTGTTCTCCTGCACACCAAGGACTCTTACATCCAGGTGCTTGTCCACAGGATGGAAAGGATGACTTTTTTATGGGGTGGGTTGGTAGAGAGGCATTAAATACTACAGTGGCCTGTAAGCATGTGGAAAGACTGGCGTTTAAAAGCACAGAGCATTCAAAACGGAAGCAATTGAAGGCTTTAGTAAATAGCAATAAAACCACGCAGGAATGTGCTGTGGCCACTGGGCCCTATAGCTGTGCTCCTGGGGTGAGGTTAGGGCATGGCCAGAGTGCAGGAGCCACAGAGGCAGATGGATCTGGTCAGCTTGGTGACCAGGGGATCAGCAGTTAAAAGGGGTTCAGTATCCTTACACTTTCCTTTCTCTTGCTAAAGGAAGCTTTCTGACTATATAGAAACCACATGGTTTGCTTTGTTGTCACCGGTCTGCAATGCTAATTGGTCTCTTCTTTTTTCCCTCTTGTTTGCTTTCCTAGGAGAGCTGTGCTCGGGTTCTCCTCTTCCGCGGTGCGAGCAAAGAGATTCGCAACTACAACAGCCAGACTGCGTTCCAGGTGAGGCAGAGGCTCCTTCCCCTTGTGCTCAGCTCCTCTTGCAGAGCTCTTCGTGCATAGCACATGCCCCCAAATGAGGGCAGCATCTGCAGTGTCCCCTAGGCACACATGTGATAAAACTTTCTGGAACAAAATCATTGATTCAGGGTATCTATTCTGTATTGTCTTAATTGCTAGAGCAGGAGGGAGGAAAGAAAGACAACATGTTGTACACGTGGAAGGGGCTGTGATGATATCCAGTGATGGGAGACTAGAAGAGCTTGGCTTATTTTGTCATGTGTAATGGAGGTTGAAAGGAGAAACTATTAATGCCTATAAACGTTTTGGGATAAGTGTCAGAGAGGGAACAGAATCATTAGAAATAAGCTTTGCCACAAAAATGAATGCATCTAAACTTACCATTAATAAAGTTAGGAGACCTGTAGCCACAGGAGGAGTGAAAATCTGCAGCAGCTTTCTGGTAAATACTCCGGGGAACGCAGGCAGAGAAGGGAAAGCTCAGTCATTTTACAGCGCAACTCCTTCCATAGATTCATCAAGTTATGGGAAGTGACTGTCTGCAAATACCGTCGGCTGCAATCTGTGATGCAGGAGGTTGCTTCCCATCCACAGTCTACTTTGCCCTTCTTTGTGAAAGTTTTTGAACTTGAAAGAGCCAATGTCTGTGCTCTTATTGAGGCACAGTCACTTGCCTGAGGACCTTTCAGAAATGTTTTCACTCCATGTCCAGCTAATACTAATCTGCAGGTATCCCTTGACAGCAGAGAGTGTGCCTGTTAGTGTCTTACTCAAGTACCAGCTTAGGTGTCTGCAGATGAGCTCCCAAACCATTTGCCTTTTAGAAAGTCTTTTTCCTGCTTCTTTTCCATGTTGTTTATAGAGTCTCAAGTGTGACCACAATGATGTCATACAATTCCTACAAATTTCATGAGTGATCCCTGCGAGAAGCGTTATCATATATGCAGTCACTCTGGTTAAATGTATGCATCTGCCCCTGTCATTAGAACAGCTGTTTGTTCTGGATGGAAATTGGTAGGGAATTGCTGAGCAGATATTCTGCATGTGCTGGAAATCTGCCACATTCTGGTTGTGCTGCACCCGCTTTTTCTCTCATGCGGAAGAAGTTTACATGTGTAGTGAGTCCTTTGTGTCCTGAGGTACTAACATTTCCTGAAAATGCACTAAATACCTGTGCAGCCTGTGTACCATGAGTACACAGGGAAGCTGGAAATTCTTCTGACTGTTTTTTGGCAACCACAGTGAATTTGCTATGGTTGTCCTTGAAAACCTCTGTTGCAAGCTGCTCGAGTGGTGTTACATTCTGCAAAAGGATATGTCATTTAACTGTTAAGCATATATTTTCATGTGAATTAAGCCTACAGTCATAAAAAGTGTACGTACAACCTCTATGTGTAATTACCATGATTGTATGTACAAATTATGCATCTGTGTGGAGATATCCGTTAATTACATATTTTTGTGTACAGGTGTAAGGAACTAAAAATGTTTATGTAGTTTCAGGAAATGAATATATAGCTTATTTTCTTAATCTATTTAGAAGTGATTTCTTTAGTAAAACTGAGACCATGTTGCTTACAAGCTGTGTTACGTATTGGTTTGGATGCTGAGTGAAAAAAGGGTCTTGACGGTCAAATTGAGTGTTTCTTGTAGGCAGTCCGATATTTTGTCACATAGAGGAACTTTAATCTAGATTTACACCAGGGTGGTGGACACAGCCACCATCATAGAATGAGTTCACCTAAGTTTAAGCGTGTCCAGTGCAGATCCCTGCACTGCATCTAGCTCTCTGGTGCCCCGTAACAGCTGACAGAGCCGGGAGGGTCATTTATGTGGTGAAGTGCAGGTGTTTCCGGAGGAGGGGAATCTCGCCCGTACCGCCACTAGCTGCCCTGGGAGCCTGGGGTGCCTGGCTCCAGTGGGTGCTGAAGACACAGGACCAGAGGAACCCCAGTCCAGAGAGCTTTGCTCTTAATGACTAGTGTCATTGCTGTGCCCTACTCACCCGCAGCGAATGCTAGGAGGTGCATCAGGTAAGCCCTGAGAGCCCCTTGTGAGAGATGTTGTCCCATGACGCTCTTCTCTATGAAATCCACCTTTGCTTAGACCTTTCTCTGCCTGTTCCATGTTATCTACCACCTTGGGAGATAGGTCGTGAAAGGGCTTGTGTGGATGGAGGCAGGAGGGTCTGCCATGCTCACGGATACTGCTGCTCTTTGGGGAACTTTTACTCTGGGAAATGAGTCAGTTCTCATCTGACTTCTCTCTGATTTAACCTAAAAATATTTAGTTCCAGAAAGGGACATCTTCCAGGAAACTGCTGCTTCCTTAACAAATGAGTTGAACTTTGGGAATCCAGAGATGGAGAAAGAGGAACTTCCTGTTTTGGCATTTGTAGGACATGGGACAGCTGATGAAGGAGTGGTTGGTGGTATAGCAGATGGTGGAGAAAAACCAGAGCAGAAAGCCATTTGTTCTTGCTCATGGCCTGCAGAGTCCTAGCAAGTGCTAATGAGGAAGAGAAAACAGTGTTTGTCTTTTGCTTTTTGAAGTAGTGTGACTACTTGGAAGTTTCTGTTCCAGAGAATGAAAACTGTGCTTAGTAATCCAGTCAGGTTGTTTATTGACAGAAGTAGAACCTGATCCAAACCAGAATTTGATATTAGTGATACGTGCTCCTATCGGTTCCTGGCTTTCAAATAGAAACTCTGTTTGCTCACTATTTCAGCATGTCATTAAGTCACTGACTGCTGTGAAGTCTGGCACTTCCTCATGTATCGTCTTTATGTAGTTGTGGTAATGTGGTGCTACGTTTCTGCGATGCAGTTTCAGCATGGCAGAGGAAAGGTGAGTCTGTATGAGGGCGCATGCGTGCTACCCATAGCTTCCGTGGCTAAGAGATCATATAAATACTCTCTTTTTGCGTGGCTATTTAGTCAGATTACTGCACATGCCTGTTGTTAAATTGATTGTTACTGTTAATCAGATAGTTTGGTGTCAGTTGCCTGAGATGACTCAAGATAGCATTGAATAATTTAGAGATTTTAGAAGTTGTAATCTGCTTCGTTATCCTCCTTGAGGCAAATCAGCCTGGGGTAGCGTGCCACATCTCTGTGTGTGGTTTGTTAAGCTCTTCCAGCTGCTAACTGGCCTAACACAATGCTTGTGGAGTATAGTGCTCCATCTGTATGGTGGTACAGGAATGCTGAGTGCATGTTCACCTCCG